GATTTTATTTTATTATTTTTTTAGGAAATAGGCTTCACGATATTCGGGTGAATTTTAGGGGTGCTAACACATTTGACAAGTACGTCACCTTTAGGTGTGGGATTGTACTGATCGAAAGTATCGAAAACTACGGTAAGATGAGAATTTGTTATTCGTTTTATCCTTGTCATTTTTTATGTACAGTCACAGGTGTGTACATACCGTTAGAGCAATCACTTCGTCTGTCGTCGCCGAAAAATTAAAAATAGCAACTGCAGCAAAAACCAATCTTGTTATAAAACAAAAAGAATCAGATGTACTTATCAGATTAAAACAACAAAACCATAAGCAAAAATTGAAAAACAAAAATAAAATTTATTTGTCAACTGGTCTGCGACAACTGATCGAATGAACAACTATCGTAACTTACCCATAATTCTTACCAATAGCACAGCTAACACAATATATACAGTGTCGCCCCCTAGGAGAAAATAATTCCATTCTTATTTACTTCGCACAACCGAATAGAATTATATTTGTGAAAAGTACGAAAAATCCAGAAAAGTAATCAGCAATATATTTTTTAAATTTTATGTTGGATAATATTCCAGATGAGACCTATGTTGCTGCAGTGCAGGCTTCTGTGACAGAAGAATGCGTCGACTATTTATCTCCAGTCTGTCACGTGACAATTCCTGCTCCTTACGGCTGCCCTTGCGTCGTTATGATAAACTACACGTGTTGCGATGCCTTATACTAAGTGATAAAGGTAAAATAAGTCAATTGTTAGCGCTAAACACCTGATAATTTGATGAACAATCGTGACTTGTGGATAATCTTTCGTGAATCTTAATGTACGTCATGATTTACATTTTAAGTAGGGTTTCCTTTGTCTCCAGGTAGCCTTAATAATATATTCTTTTTGGACACTTTTTTCATGATTGTTACATTTTTGATAATTTGACTTTTGTAACACAAAATGCATTTTTTATTTTTTCTTTATTCTTATAGGAAAATTAGGGACGAAGAACACCAAGACTTGGATAATGTTGAATGAAAAACGGACTCTGACAAGAATCAATCCTTTGAATGTGTTTTACGCAGAATATATATTACAGTTTATTCACAGTATATATGTTAGTGGTATGGTTAAAAAAAATCAAAAAAATCATTAAACAATGGGAAAAAACTGTCGCATCTTGCTTGAATATTATTGTAATACAAAATACTTATTTCAGTTTTCCTCTCAACTTTGCTCAAAACTGACATATCTTGGTTGTATTATTGTGTACACATTCCAGTTTTTTATATTGTTATATTGCAGTGGGGTGTATTGTTATTATATCTAGGTGTTCTTTTTAGTAAACTACTGCAAATTGGATTGTTAACTTTTAATTACTACGGTGGTGTGATGTTTTAATTCAAATAATAATGTTATTTGGTTATTTTGATTATATGATAAATAGGCCTGATGGCTTTACGTGGGGGTTCATGACATATCACTTTTATTTTGAAGTCCATATTAGGTTTTGCTTGTAGTGTGAATTAATAAGACTTAATCGTTGGCATGTACTCAATTCCCTTATCTTACTCTTTTGAGATGTGGGTGGTCAAATATTGCTGTAATCGGGTATCTTACTTTACGCAAATAAAACTGTCGCAAATGCTATAGATTGGTTGTTAGTTTTCATTTCTTTTTGGTAACTGTCTGTTTGTAAGACTTAAAGGTGGTCGATACAGGATTTTTACATCAAATCTAATTTTCGTAGAGAGAAAATTATTTTCCCTTAACTAGCGACTCATTGTTTGACTTATCCCAGCACTGGGATCCAGTGCTTTGTACCACATCAAATAACTTATTAGTAGTAATAAACGAAGCATGCTTCACTTAGAATGTAATGTGTCTTCGTATTCCAGAAGGACTTATCCGCATCTGTTACTTATCATAGTGTGAGATTTTTGGTTTTAAGAGCAGATATCTGTAAGAATCAAAAATGGATGGCCGGGGAACAAAATGAAATTAGTAACTGTCCGAGGGGGGATCCATGTCGAATAACGTGTAATTGTCCCTTAATGCAAAAATGTTTTCACGCTGTTGCATAATGTGAAATTTCCATTACACTTAATAGTGTCGTAACACAATCAAAATGTCATATTATATATTCTCAGTAACCTTCATTGTAGTTAAAACATGGATGGAAACATTAAAACACAGGCTTCTTTATATACACACAAAACATTATATACATGTTCAAATCTACTACAGAGCGAATTCTCAAAAATAAGCTCATAGGTCCTTCTGTGTCCTCTTAAAATCCCATTTCAACAGACATACAGAGTTGTATTTTTTAATCATTTTCTTCGAATTTTCCATTTATTCCGAGTTATAAAAAAAAATGAAATCGCGTTTTATAAATTTTAATAATCTCATCAGTCATCTGAGTCATCATAAGTTCCTTTCCTGCAATTGATAAAAAAGAGCATTACAAAAACACGGGTTTGATTTAAAATCGTAAATCAATTATTAAATGCATCATTTGGAGCGCAACGTTTTACATAAATTATCAAACTGTTAAAGAGTGACAGGCTTAACAAATTACAATCATATCAATGCCCAGTCAACAACAAGTGTGCAGATCAAATGTGTTTGCCTATGTTTGTTTGGCACATCACAACTCGATGTATCATAATTTACATTTTCATATACTGAAGTAGCTAGCTCTCAAGCTGTGTGGCATTTATTCTGGCAGGAACCCAGCAAACACGTCATGTTCGGATCACGTGGCCAGCACGTTGCCACCACATTATAACGTCATAGCCACGTGATCCGACAGTGATGTGTTTGCTGGGAATAACATTCCAGACAGAGAGGTCGGAGTTTGCATAAGTTGATTTGGTTTTGACATACATGTAAGTCCAGCAGACTGACAAATCAGACTCACCGGCCCGTAGCCAGCAATTTCAATGGGGAGGGGGGTGTCTTTTTCTGAAAACGTAGACCTTTTATCGCGATATTTAAAAAAAAGTGTCGAGTTTTATTGAAGGAAAACAAATGCGTTTATTTTTAAATAAACATATTTAATTTGCGTAAACATTTGAACACAACATTTCATAGGTGAAAGGAGCGATTATAATAATAATGACTACAATATATAAAAAAAAATCAAATTTCAAGAAATCATCTAATTTTGACAGCACATGAAATGATATCAAATATCACAGGGCGAATATAAAAAAAATCACTCACTAGTAGGTCCTACAAAAATCTATCTGCAACTGCCATCATATCATGTAAAACAGAAAAATGTTATCAAAAGGTTCAAAAGAGAAGCCCTGCCTCCATCAATATTGTAAAATTAGTTCAACATTGCAAAATACAAACTGGCACCATGAGAAAAGAGGATGTATATATATCACTAATAAAAATTGATAAATCAAACCTGATATGTTTTCAGTAAAAAATAATAATTCTAAAACATTTTCAAGACGTTTAACTCCTGGGTAACTTAATTCCTAAATGACAAAATGTTTTGTACTTCCTGATCTACAATAAATATCACATAAGAAAGAGAAATCACTGCATTTAAATTGATTACTCATTACAAGCGCAATGTTAAAACCTGAGTTTTGCCTTATCATCCAAGATGATGCAACAGTGCATTATAGCACAAAGGGCATTGCTATTTGAGTAACTGAATAAAACATGTATGCTGTGATACACAGTGTAAAACAAAATGGTAAAATTCAACTGTCTCAGTAATGGACCTCATTGTAGATTCACTGACTTTGTTTTTGATGTTTCCTTACATCTAGGTGGCTCATTTTCTGCAGTATAAAACAAAGACACATTCTTTTATTATTTACTTCACAAATAAATTGTGCATGTCTATTTAAATAAAAGTAATTTTGCCTCGTGTTGCATCAACACATTTTGTAACTTTGTACTTAAATAAAAAATAACATGGTAATGTTTCATTCAGAAATGAACTGTACCAAATCGCACCTTTTGCCCCCTCCAAAACACCAAAAAAAATTTTTTTTGGGGCCCCATTAGCGGCCCCCGATTCCGTCGACAAAGTGGGCCAGACTCGGTTTTGTATCCGGGGTTGGTCATACATGTACTTAAAAAGGGATCTTTCAATAGTCTTTGCTATGCGCCTGCTTTGTCACTCTCTGGCATCAGTTTCTAGCCACTGGTATTCTTATGGTCTCTTGTCTATTTTTAGTTATTGTAGAGGGCAGCACTGTACTACAGGCACATGTGTTTGCTTATACCCCTTTTACACTGGACGGCGTCCTTTCTGCGTCCTCTCTGCGACCATGAAATTTGGCATCGCTGTGGTCTTAATAAGGAAGCACGAGCACTGATTTTGTATCAGAAGAATGCTCAATGACCGGCCAGTTGTCGGCACGTAAAATATTATAATTTTTTAACTCTCAAATGGGGCCGTGCTGCTGGACGCAGAAAGGACGCCGTCCAGTGTAAAGGGGCCCTTATCTCTAACTCAAGACAGCTAGGTCTTATCGATAATCTCCTTCTGAGGACATGGGGGACATGCAAGGTCACACTATAGATCTGAAGGCTTCATTCCGACTCTGGTAGTTCAGACAAATCAACAGGTAAAAAGTAGGTTAAATCCAAATCATCGCGCAAAGTTAAGGTGCACCTATACTGTACAGTGTATATTACTACCACCTTGTGTGTGTGTGTGTGTGTGTGTGTGTGTGTGTGTGTGTGTGTAAAACAGTGGCATAGATTTGCCTCCTTCCCTCAGAGTAAACAATGAACTAAGGTGGAATTGTAACTAGACCTGCTGACGTTTTTAACGCTCGTGGTGTGAAATACGTATTTAATAGCTATTTCAAAGTCGTCCTACATCCACTGCGTTGCTTCACACGTGTCAGTTCAGCTCTATGTGTGAAATAAACATGTTGACCATGGACACCATAAGCGGCTATCATTGAATACGACATTCGCAGACCCTATCGTACTAGCTGTGGATCGATCTATCTCTGAGGAGATCTCGCTAAATTGCAATTAACTTAAGCTGAAAGCAATTTAGCGAGAAACCCGAAGGAGATGGATCGATCCTGTTAGACCGATCTAGGCATGGGAACCCAGTGTTAGACTATTGTGGAATAATGGCTCGGAATAAAACACGTTTACATTACGTGCGGGTAACCATAGGTTAAAAAGTTTATCGGTTGTAAAGTAATCGTACCAAGTCGGTTTAATCTCAGAGCAGTTGCCGCGCGCCTTCTTCCCGTCTTTCCTGAATCTTAGACTGAGTTCTCATACATAGATCCATCCATCTGGATCGACCTAACTCCCTGGGGAGTCTCACTAAATTGCTAGCAAATAACCGGCTTATATGTCTGTCACGCCTACCGAATCACCTAAGGGGTAAAGATAACTACTCCTAAACACCTTTACTGGGCGTGACAGATATTTAAGCCGGTCAAGTTGACAACAATTTAGTGAGACTCCACATGGAGATAAATCGATCCAAATAACTGTTGGAATGGTTCTTTAGTCTCTACGACTTAAGGCACCCCTGTGGTCAGAATGAGAAAACGCACAATTTCAAACTTTTCAAACTCGTGCCTTGTACGAAAATGCTACAGCCTACGGACTTACGATTTTCAAAATTTCTCAAAATCGTAGAAGCTACAGAGGCCTAATATGAAGAAGGGATTGGCCTCGACAATTTAAAGGAACGGTTAGATTATTTGCCATTGTATTGTAAATTCCAATCCCAGTTGCTGTAATTCTAATGCACAATTGCCTTGCGTCTTTTTGTGATTCAGCAAACATTCTTCGCACGTACGAGCCGCAAACTTTTGTACACACACTGGACAATAGAAGTGTCACCCCCTGAATCAGAGTAATCACATTTATTTACCTGAAGAGGCGGAATATAAGCAATGTCAGAATATCGATGCAGTTGAATTATTCAGTCAGAACCGTTTCTTTTGTGAAATTGATGTTATTAAAATGATACCAGGAGTATATCATTCCACAGTCATTTATCTCCCCCAAAATATTGATTCAGTAGGGGTGACACTTCTATTGTCCAGTGTGTGTAGTACACGTAGTAGTATAACTGCTCTTTGAACACAGAATCCGCCAGCATTCTGTTATGAAATATTCAATGGCTGACAGTGTAGTTTTGTATTCTATTTCAGTAATACAAAAGTGGAAGTATTTGTAAAACTAAAGAATTGCTTATAATGGAAAATTTGCATTTTTGTCTCTATGGCATCTAATAAGATACCCCACAGGTTAGTTAAATAATTTTAGCGACCTTTCTGAGGCTTGTAATAGATACTCATGTCTTCGTATAATTTATAAATGCTGCAAATATTTTCATATTTACATGCATCTAGCCAAATGCAACATGGAAGGCACGAAGTTAAATGGGGAAAGTTCGAGCGACGACCCCAAGGACTTTGACGACATTCTTGTACTGATCGGGGAGTTTGGAACCTTTCAGAGATTAATTTACACTTTACTGGCGTTAGCCTGTATGTTGCACAGTGTCATTTACGTTGCAGTTGTTTTCATAGAGGAAACCCCTGGCCACAGGTAGGATTATGATAGTGTAAAATATGATGTGCTGTATAGATAAGAAAATGGTCACCTTTTTACTATGACATACAAATATCAAATAAACTTTGATTCACGAAAAAAATAAGAATAAAAATAAAAAATAAAGATTAAAAATAAAAAAAAAAATAATTAAATTGATTAAATAAAAAAGAAACAGAGGCAAAAGGAATGAAGTGGATACATGATGGGCTATGAATTATGAAACGTGTATTTATATTCGACAGGTAAACATGTTTCGAATGTCCCAACTCCATATCTCTATGCTGGATATCCTACAAAGCTTCTTTTCTGTTCCAATTCAGCCCTTAAAATGACAATTAACCTCCCTCCTGGCGATATTTTACTTTGAATCGCCAGGAATACGAATTGCCGTCTAAATAAAATAGGATTAGTTTAGAACTAAGCTAATTAGTTAGAAATGATAAGATATATTGCATCTACATGTAAGTGCAGAATTAAATTTAAATAAAAATCATAACCTCGTTTTAGAGGAAAAATGAATCTGATTTCAAAGTAAACGTGAACTATCAAAATATTAAATTCAAGATGCAAAATCCCTGGGCTTTTGAATGATACAAACAACGTTTCTATACCGAATGAAACTGGAGTTGCGACACAGCAGTGCACATTTATACAAAATGTCAGCCACCAAGGGGACTACAGTCAAGACAAGACGGAACCGGAGCCATGCACGGAATGGGTGTTCGATACATCAACTGTAACATATTCTTACCCAATGCAGGTACCTGCATTTTTATTATTATATTTCTTTTATCATTTGCTTTCAAACAAGAAATTGAGCCCAAAGACTGACTTCAAACTTTGCGTAAAACAGTAATCTTGTCAGTACCTGGTATTTTTTTTGGGGGGGCGGTGGACTATAAAGCGTGTGACACACATGTGACAGAAACAGAATGTATTCACAGCTTAATTCTTAAAACAATAATTATCTTACACGAAAATGTATTTTTCCTTTCTAGTTTGGCCTCATTTGTACCGATTCTTTAAAACTGACTCAGTCTCACATAATGTTAATCGCCGGGTCGATCGCGGGTGCCCCAGTTTTTGGATCCATATCTGATAGGTAGGTTATCATTTATATTTATCTAATGTTATGAAAGTTCATAAAAATAAATCTTAAAATTTCAAATTTTCCTCCGACTGATTACATGTTTTCTTTACTGTGGTCAAGAAGCGGAAATGACGAGACTGGTCGATATTATGGCTGGTGATTACGGCGGAGGTTAACATTAACTTTCACAATTGCTCAGATGTAAGATTATATTTATGCGAGTTATAATGCATTTAAGTACGAAATATTGGCTTATGAGAGAGAGAGAGAGAGAGAGAGAGAGAGAGAGAGGTAAAGATGGATTACCTTCTTCTGTATTTCACTTCAGTTTAGGCAGACGATTTTCGTTGCTGCTTTCTCTGAGTGTTAGCAGTGTCCTGGGACTGGCGTGGGCACTGACACCCTCATATCTATGGGGCATCATAATTAGGTTTGTCTACGGGTTGACGTCAGCGACAATTAACAGTGTGGGAACTACGGCTGGTAAGTTTGAACTTCATTGGAATAATAATAATAATAATAATAATTATTATTATTATTATTAATTCCTAAAAATTCAGATTTCCCTCCAAAACCGTGAGTAATTCACCACCTGGAACACCATTTCCATTTTTTAATTTCCACAATGTTCTTTCTGTGTAAAGTTTTTAGGTCCATTGTATGTCTTATAGCTCGACGACCTTATGTTTGTGATCGCCCATTTATGTGGCTGTATGACTCCAGTAAGACACTCAAAAGAAGGGTGAATTTCATTTGTGGCACAAAGTACATAAATAGAAATATTTGATAATGGGATCGAGGATATGAATAAAATCCTTTTCCTGTCAGATTCAAAGATCAATAAATAAATAAATAAGTTAATAAATAAACAGATCTGAATAAAGTGGTTTAGTTGGAAAAAATCGCTCATATTTATTTAATACTGCGTTACATACAGGAAGATAAGGCGTAATTTCTGCAAAATTATTTATCTTGTCCACTATACTTGACCTGCTGCTGTTAAAACCATCCACATTTTCCAGGCTTAGAAATCGTAGGCCCTGGAAAGCGCATGGTGGCTGGAACTGGTTTGGCTTATGTGTATGCAGCGGGCGGGGTGGTAGTAACGGGAATGGCTTTCTTCCTAAGAGACTGGCGCCATCTACAGATCACGATATCAGCGCTACTATTTCTATTAGCCTTTACTCTTTTTTGGTGTGTCAAACTTGTATTATTTGAAGTATTAGTTTTATCCTTTTTTATTTGATAACAAATTGCAAATTTACTTGTTGAATCATACGGAGAAGCAAAACCATATCTACATGTATGGAATCTCTTTTCTATTCATCGGAGACCAGAAAAAAACAAGGTCAGGGCTATGCGTAGTATTTGTCTTGAAGAGACCGTTGTTGTGTTGGCAGATAGTCTTTTTCAGCTAATTGTATTGCCACGTCTCTCTCTCACACAAACACACACACACACGCGCGCGCGCGCACGCACTTGCACCCAATTTCCCGATCTTTTAATATTTTCCAAGGTGCCTCCCGGAGTCGCCCAGGTGGTTACTTACCAAAGGCCGAAAGAAAATTGCTGAGAAAATATTAAGACGAACTGCAAGAATTAACGGCACCGAGTTCCCAGAAGGACTTGTAGAAAAGGTGGAAATCAAGAAACCCCCATCTACGAGTGCCAGAGCTCTATTACATGCACCAAACTTGATGATAAAGCTGCTGCTAATAATCGTTAATTGGTATGTGAAATACAAGCAGTTATCCCTACGTAGAATACATATTTAAATGGATAAGTACGTACCAATGAACACTAATAAATACTAGTACATGAATGAGTTAGTTCATATGACATAAGATATTAAGGAGAACAAAATAATGAAATGACAAATAAAATAGACAAATACATCAAGGAATGAGGCTACTGCAATTATCCCTGGACCCAGTTTCACATAAAAACGAAAGTCAGTTCCAGTGGCTAACATTTTTGTTGTCAACGTTACCTTGTCCAAGCACAGTGTTACAGCACTCAAATGGCCACGTGCACACCTTCTTGTCCAGGGAAGTAACTGAGGCTTTGGTTGTGAAACTGGGACCTGATGACGGTGTTTTGCAAGACACTTAAAAGGATGTAACTGTTCACTTTGGCAAAGAAATGAATTTTCCTGGGGGAAATGGGAATTTTCTCATACTTACCAATGGTGAATGTATCCATTTCTACTTTCAGAGTTTGTCCCTGTTTTTTTTCTATAAAGTTTTTTTTGCAATAATCTCTTAAGAGATTTATATAATTTCTGTAATAATCGCGTATGAGACTATTACAGAGAAAAACTATCCATCTATGGAGATCACGTGGTCCGATGACAAGCACCTATTGCAGAATAATTACTATAACTGCTGTTTTTGTGGTAAAATAGAATAAATTACATTTTTATGAGTTGTTTTCGATGCATTTATTGAGAAGTATAGATCTCACTCTATAGATCATCATATCCCTTAATATATTGGAATGCCAATACACTGTACCAGTAGCTTTGGGTTTGGGCTGTTGTTCGAATAATCTATCAATATTTCAGGATCGTAATCGACATGGCGTACTATGGTATCTTCCTCCATGCCGGAAACATGTCAGGGAACCTGTACCTCAACGTGCTGTTTTACTCCCTGGTGGAGTTTCCAGCGTGTGCGCTATGTTTTACCATCGATAGATTCGGACGAAAGCGGCCTTATATTATGTGTGTGGTCATTGGCGGCCTTTCGTGTCTTTCAACTCTGCTGGTGCAATATTATGCAAGTGATGGTAAGGAAAGAGTTAAAAAATTAAAACTTAAGATATAATACAGGTAATTGTGGAGCAGCAAGAGTGAATTTCATATAAACAATTACGTACTGATACAGTTACTTTCAGTAATCAAGGATTCATATTTTTGATTGATATTTAGCAGGTACCGGTGTACCAAACGGTCCCCTTTCTTTTATAACAAAAATTCTATTTCAGAACTAGAATCTACAAAGTACACAAAAATTGCATTATCAGTCGTGGGAAAACTGGGAGTGTCCGCCGCCTACTGTATCTTGTATATCTGGAGCATCGAAATATTCCCAACCGTCATCCGTAATTTCTGTTTGGGTGTGGGAGCCGTGTTCGCTGGCGTCGGATCAATCTTGTCTCCCATCATTGTAGTAAGTATATTAGGGATTAGGTCCCAAATCTGAGGAAGATTTTTATACACATGACTGACTGGATGGCTCAAATGGTGCTCGCCTCCGGTGCAGTAGGTTGTGGGTTCAATCCCCGGCCGGGTCATACCAAAGACCATCATAAAAATGGTACCTACTGTGTCCTTGCTTAGCACTCAGCATATCAAGGTTCAAGTAGGGAACAAAGCCAGTACTGTTGAAGGACTGGTAACAGAGGGCCATGTGGAAGATAAACGCTTAACATGTTTACCCTCTTTAATTAAAGTTTAAAAAATGGTATATTCCCTGTTGATTTGAGCATCGAAATCTTTCAAACAAATAAAATCTACAAACATCATCATGTTTTTAAATGAAATTTCGATGCCTACTTGGTGATTGAGAAAACGGATGATTCACTGTGTGGGGATTAAGTTGTCAGAAGTTTGAACCCGCGTGAAAGTGTCGTTGACTGACGAGTCCCTTTCGTTTTCGTTTTCAGAGAGACCTGAAGGTAGAGAGTATAGGAAAGGACACTTTGCCACTTGTAATATTCGGAGCGATGTCTATATTTGGGGCAATATGTACCATTCCCTTGCCGGAGACGGCCAAGAGGGATTTACCAGAAACAATTGCAGATGCTGAAAAATTTCCCCTGTAAGTTTTGATAATACTGAAGATATAGATTAGAGGCTAAATTGTCAATTTCGACCGCAGGTTTCGTTTTACAATTAAACAATAAGAAGAGAGAGAGAGAGAGAGAGAGAGAGAGAGAGAGAGAGAGAAAATAAAAAGAATAACGGAATTAAAGAAATGTTTATAATAAACATATATTGTGAAATATTAATCGTATCTTAAAACAGTAAACTTGATTGCGTACGTGTAAGACAGCTATGTGACTAAGTCATGTGTCATTTATATGATGAAGAGCCTTTAATGGATTGTCAAAATGAAATGGATAGAAAAAACGTGGAGTGTCTTATGAAACTATTTATTTTAAAACTTTTTTTGTTTTTTAGGGGATTAAAATGCACAGCTGACGATTCTGAATACCAAAAGCCACCCTTGGTCGATGAAACCACACGAGTTTGACGTAACGCTGTATGACGTACTCACACAAATAATTATCATCTATGTGAAGAATTCCACAGCGCATGGAAGATCCGTTCCTATAATAATTTTCACGATTTGCTGCCATCACGAAGTTTGTATCTTTCACACGTCATTGTTGTTTTCTGTTTTTTTTTCATACACCGTATTTGCCTTATCAATTGATTAACATTAAACCAAAGTCGTGTGTGTCCGATTGATGCCGTATCTCTTAGCCTCCGCGATTATTCATCGGTCACCCTATTCTATCAATATTGGTTTGGATTTGAATGGAACTGTTAAAATTTTCACGAAAAATTCATGTCTTGCGACCAGTCAATATCACAAAAATGACATTTAATAATGGTGTCACAGTTGGTATACAAAGTCTCAAGAGTCTGTCCAATTGAATGTATAAGTCTAAACATGCAAAATACTCTCACGATCTTCGGCATACGAAAGAGTCTTGCGAAGCTTGCTGTGAATACAAAGGGTTATGGCGGCGCGTCTTGTCACGTGGCCAAAAGTACGGGTACTATTTCATTTGCAAGCATTACAACGGAGAGGATATATAAACGTCAAATTTTGTTCTCCAATCAGTCACAAGCCTAAGGCGAATCTTGATTTGGAAATTATAAATAAATATAATATACCCGATTCAATGTAACTGACAGATTTGCAAGTATATTGTATATGTACATGTTAGTAACGGCTGGATACGCAAACATGGTCATTGTCCAAGGAGGTTGGCTTAGCTATGTGGTCATTTGCCGGTGTGACAGGAATGGTAGTCCTAGGAATTGTACACCGGGATCCAATTTGATTACTACAGGTCAGGGTTAGTGGCAGTATTGGGGTTAAATGTGAGATAAATGTCACCTTTACAAAGTCATGGGGAACGGACTAATGTTCCTAGCGGACTGCCATTCCTGAAACTCCGGAGTCAAGCGGCAAATGTACATTGTACAGATGTACAAGTGTGTGTCCATCACGGTCGACCCCCATGCACTGATGTCCTTTTGTTGCATAATACCTAAACGATTTCCAGAGGCGGTTGGCAAAAGTCAGGCCAAATGCACTTTGATATGACGTCACTTGTGTTATGTTTAGATATATTCGCCCTTTAAGTTCCAATACATAACATGTATCTTATTCGCGTGAAATCCATAGATCCAGCGGAAATTATGGATAATGTTTAGTGTATTTGCAATGCTCTGTTTGCAAATTGGCCAATTTTTTACTGGCTAACTGTCACTGTCTCTCTATTCCCACCTTTTCTTCACCGAGGAGGGAGGGGGTCGGCTAGTGGTACATCTGCTCGTTCTTGAGATATCCTATACAGCGTTATCTTTGTTAAAGAGGCATATAAAGCACGCGTATATGCCAGATCATTACCGATTGTTTCCAACAATTGCAACGTACGGTGTAGGTTCTAATAAAGTTTAATAGAACTAAAAGGATTATATGTACCAAAGAGTTTTGTTACATTATTTCTCTAAAGTGGGAAACAGAGCTCCGATCACACAATTTATCTTAAATATTACTCTTGTTATTTGTAACACTTCTGTGAGATGGTTAATAATCATCGCCACATCTAAGTCGGTTGTTTTGTGAAACAGTCACATCGAAATGAAAAAGAGAACCAGAATAAACATATTTCTTCTCTTTGGAATATACCATATATTTAAATAAACCGTTTGTCATTTGCTTAATAATTGTTTCAAAGCAAGACATATCAATTGTTTTATTTCTATTTAGGTTCTGAAGACATATATCTAGTCTTCGAAACATCTTATATTTATAGGAAAGGTGACAGATTTTCAGAAAAAGATTGCTGATGCTTATGATGTTGCAGCACCCTGGCGTATGAGTCCGAGGCTTACGTTAGGAGGGTCCCCTGTTATGAGGTTGTCTCGGAAACAAAATTCACAAAAGGGCCTTACAATATATGTGCGAGAAACGACCGAAAACTTTTAAAGTGGAAGAAGCATATGGCATTTGTATATTGACGTAGGTCTGTTTATTTCGTACATAATTGACCAGTTTCTCGATTGACCCCAATGCGGGCTGTTATTCTTTTGAATCTGAAATTATTTGATGGTCATTCTTACATGAGTCATTGACTCGTCAAACATCTAATGTCGTCAAAGGTTGATACATAATGTAGCAGAAAAGTCGGATGGAATGTGCAATGTTTAAGCAGAAATGGTCAAGTGTTTGTAATGCGAAATGTGTCGAACAAAACAAATCTAGAAGATCGAAACGTTCACACCGACTGCCCTTCATGAATTCATAAATATTTGCACAGAACATGTTTTCCAAATAAATCCAGGTGGCAGTCGCTACGAGATAACCGCGGTTCACGCAAGCTGTGGCAATTAGTGATCCTGTGTTATAAAAAGCGCGGCAAAAGGAGTTGGTCGCCAGTTAGCGTTCTGCGCGGCATCTTTCAGAAGAACTTCTGTTGGTCCCTCCAAGCAGGAGAAAGATGACGAAGTTCTTAGTAATTTGCCTATTGGTTCAGGCCATTTGGTGAGTAAATTAGATTTATTACATTTCTTAAAACCCTTAGTGAAGGGATATTGTGCATTTTTAAGTTTTAAAAGTTTTCTTGCTTTTCCTATTTTAAGAGTAATTCACTGATTCTGTTTCAACTGCATTTTCATATATTTTTCAATTATCGATTTCTTTTACACAGGTATCAATATCTTTATTTTAATTTGCAAATTAAATCTATATGTTTTTTTCAAAACGTATCTCCGTGCGATACATACCTAAAAAGATGCACAGGTTTTTAACAGCATAACGACTGAATAAATTAGCTTTGCGTATGAGAATAATAGAAAAAATAATTATCGATAAAGTAAACAGAGTAAATGGATCGATAAAAACATACACTTTTCAGTCAGAAATAGAAAGGAAAGAAGACGATAGCTAAATATTATATATAGAGTACTTTTTTGTCGAAGAAATTTTCGGAAATATTGAAACATCATGACATATAATGGATTGCCTTTTCCTCAATCTTAAGGCATTGTCACGGAAAAAGTTTGAAACAACGGCGATCTTTGTCATTCGAGCCTGAAGGTAAGTGTGCCAAAATACAGATAATCGATAAACATAAAAAAAAACTTTAAAAACTTTAGATAAGATATAATTTAGCAAGGAAGGGATTCAAATTGTTGAAATGTCCAGAAAAAATCTAACAGGAATCATGCACCTTGTATTTGACGAAACGATCGAGTAGAGCAAATTCATCGGTATTAATAATAAAGGTTTATTGTGTTCTTTGCAATATATAAGACATATATTGAATGTATATGTATAAGAGTATAAAGATGTAGTACTAAAATAGAGCTTTAAGATAAATTCTAAGTTATAAAACCAATAATGAGGTTAAAAATGTTGTTATTTTCAAAAGCTAAAAGTTAATGGATAGACCTAGATCATTGACACGTATATAAACAGTATGGGATAAAAGTGTTTCTATATCTTTTTGTCCGACATTTTGGTAAAACATATCTATAAACATTCCTTAGGTCCTTTTCTATGACACGAGTGTTAGGTAAAAGATGGTTCAATCTATGTGTACACAGTTTTATCTCATTAAATAATTTTTTGCATAAGTCAGTACGCCGAGATTTCAAGGTAGGTAATTCAGTGATGTCCATTGCTTCGTTGTAAGTGAGTTCAGGGTATATAATATGAAGAGCCCTTTTTTGGATGTTCTCTAAGGCTTTAGATTGCTGTGCGGTAATTCCAGCATGCCATAGCTGACAAGCGTACTCAAGTGTTGGTCTGAGATTGCTTTTATAAATTTGTAAGAGGTCATGTCTCGGCACCCCAGCGTGTTTGGCCATGCATAAGAAATACAGTCTGGATGCAGCTTTTGAGAGAATTTTTTCTATATGTAAGTCCCATTTCAAATTAGAACTGATATGAACTCCCAGCAGTTTGGCATGTGAAACTTGTTCGATTTTTATACCATCAATTATTAGGTTATCAGGTACAGTAGGGTTTTTACTGAAACAGATAAACAGTTCAACAGTTTTTTTAGGATTGATTAGCATGTTATTTTGTTTTGTCCATTCATATAGGTTTGAGGCTGCTATGGGAAGTTTAGATTGTGTAGGTTTGGCACCTTGTTCTATTTCCCTTGGAGATGGTTGGTGAACTGTCTCATAAACTGTAGTGTCATCCACATATTTTACTGCTGGTAAAAAACATTCCATGTCATTTATCATTGTAATGAAAAGGAGAGGTCCTAATTTTGTACCCTGGGGCACGCCCCCATGAATATGGCACCATTGTGACATTACTGATCCACACTTGATCCGTTGCTGTCTATTTAGTAAAAAGGCATGGACCCATCTGAGTAATACTGGAGGTACTCCATAGCTGCAAAGCTTGCCTAGCAAAATATTGTGGTCTATTAAATCAAATGCTTTTCTAAAATCAAGTAATAAAACGCGGTATTATACTGCTTATGACCGTGTGCTATGTGTAGTAATTATACAAAAACTCCTGTGACTTCGTCAGCATATATTTTCTTGGTTTCTAACTTCAGTCCGGCTTGTGGGTGGGTCTCACGCCGCAGAGGGACGTGTCGAGGTTCGACAGGAAAGCGGTAACTGGGGCACTGTCTGTGATGACAGCTGGGATAGCAACGATGCCGCCGTGGTCTGCAGAATGCTTGGTTACGAGTAAGTGTAAGACATATTCTTTGTTTAATTGGCGTTAAGGCATCAAAAGTGCGTGGCTCTGCGTAATTCTTGATTCCCTTACGGACATTTCCTAGGGTCCTATAGGAAGTCCTGTAGAAAATTCATCCGAAACACTGGGTTCTATAGCACATATTCACTAGATAGAGTCCTATAGGAACTCCAGTTGAGTCAACAGAATTCCTTAATATTTACTGGTAAACCTCCGTTGATTGACAAATGAATCTGTATTTGTTTATTAAATACAGGTACACTTAGCTAATGCAACTGTTGAACGCTATCTTTTGTCAACTCTCCTTCTTTCTTTATCGTTCCATTGCCATTTTAGTGCCAGCAATGCAATCGCCTACAGCCGAGCTCACTTTGGTCAAGGTAGC